TATTATTTGTAGATTTAATAATTATTGTTACTGAGATGCATTTTGTAAGGAAAATTCTGTTCTCTTCAATTATGGAATTGCTGAGAGCTTAATATTAGGGAGGGAATATTTCAATAATTATAAATGATAATTTCTATCCTTTTTAAATCATGAGCTGATATTTATCCTAAAACTACCTGAAATAAGAGAGTACTAATTAAATTGCTCAATGCCGTTGAAATTATATAGGAAAGAGTGGACTCAACTGATAGGACAGCATGACAGTTTTTTTAGCAATCTAGCATCTCTGTATTCAGTTTTATATGTGCAATTATACAACATTCACTTGTGTGTATGTATAAGTGAGTTCAGCTATATGCCTCTAATAAAATGCTACAGCTTCTTGAAAGAGACCTGCTACTGCTGCTGATATAGAGAAAAAACCTTGTTAATATAGAAGAGACTTGGCTGTCCCTTTTCATTTACCTAAAATGGAGAGTCAAGCCTTTCTCCGAGGTTTGGAATGTTAAAAGGCATTTTAAGGAAAACCTAGAGCAAATAAATAACTTTTTTTCACACCAGACATTAAGTAATACTCTTCTTTTTAAACCATTCATTTTTTAACATTCAGATCAAAACAATAAAAAGTTCTCTACAGAATAAAGTAGCACAGTATAAAGCTATAACTCTGTAATATGCAAAGTAAATATTTACATTGTTTACATTATTCAGACTGTTATCCTCATCTCATGTTTCGACCGTTGTATGCTCTGGCCTTCTTCAAGTGATTGGAATTTCAAACCAAACCCTTTATTTCATCCACTGGGGTAGACTGTTCTAGTTCCATGTGCCATGCCTTTTAGAGATGTCTCAGTTATTTCCCTTCACACTGGGCCATGTGGATAAAGATGTTGGTTAGATCCAGTGATTAGACTCAAGGAGTTGTGAGTTCAATACCAATCTACAGCAGGGGTGAACCAAAAACTTGGAGAGTTGAGTTAAAGGGAAATAACTGAGACATCTGGAAGAGGCATGGCCCGTGGAAGTAGAACAATCTGCCCCAGTGGATGAAATAAAGGGTTCAGCTCAAAATTTCAATCACCTGAAAAAGGCTGGAGTGTACAATGGCTGAAACTTTGGGAATAGGACAATGAAGATGAGGATAACAGTCTGAATAATGTAAATAATGTAAATAATCATAATACCTCATCTCAGAGATATAAGCAAAGTAAATAATTTAGTATTTTAATTCATTGCAATTAACAGGAATAAATAAATCCTACACCCACATGTATAAAATGCACTGCAGAAAGTTCAGTAATTGAGCTTCAATCTACCCAGGTCAGCTATACTGTTGGAACACTCCTTTGAAGGTATGCAGTGTTGTACACATAGCTCAATCATTTAAGAGAAGAGAAATCCAACAGAAAACCTAAACCATTTTTTTATGTTTCAAATGACATTTTATTTTCGCCTAATACGTTGCTCAGTTTACGAAAGGAATCTTTTGTTATTCTTATGTACTTTAGCATTTCAGTATCACATTTTTTGCTGTCTGTTACTACTTTACCCAGATTGTTAAATTTCTGCACTTGCCTAATTTAGACGTCTCTAATATGTAACTCACAACTTGAATTCTCCTTTTTGCTGACACTCATACATTCTGTCTTCTTAGTTAGTCCTCTCCTCTTGCTTTCTTCAACTACCTTGTCCATATTAGCCAGAAAAAGTGATAATGCCAGGTTAACTTCTTAACATTTCTCTTAAGGAATTATTTCAAATTCACTTAAAGGCAAAACTCACTTTGTTCAACATTTGATTTGCTGAGAGAGAACTGACAAAATTAGTGAGAAACACAGCAGTCAAAACCTCAGACATTAGGTTCCATCGACTCAATGGGCAACTCATATTCATTATCTATTCATTAATTTCTTTGGGCCCAATACTCGTTTATATCAACAGCATTCAATCAACAGTAGGATTATCAATAATTATTGAAATTTATCATGTTTTTGTTTTACAGACATAGTATCTATATCCTATGTATAACCATTGCCGTACAGTTTCAGGTGGCTGAGTTTTGAATTCAGAGTTTTCATTCTTCTAAATTGGTTGCCAATCATGGCTAGAGAGCCCAGTCATGCTGCTATCTAACCCATAGCTGGGGGGAGTATTCATAATGGTAGAGATTTTTTAATATCAAGTATTCTTTAAATCAGAAAACCAGTGAGGTTCAATTTATGTATCTTTGGCATCTTCATTCAACTATAAAATTACTGTCTGTATCTACATGTGTTTGGAGTGCAAGTAAAATTTCATTATTTGCTTTAGATCAGAAATACCCTTTCGGAAGAATAAGAGATTGGTTGAAAACAAAGATGACTGATAACACTTATAGCATGTTTTCAAACACTATGGCAATACTGTCCCATAATAGTTGTTACATAATGTATGAAATTTATATGTAAATTTAACAAATAATTATGAGACAAAAGTATTATTTTTATTACTGATTCATATAAAAATGTTTTAGAGCATAGATAACATTCTAAAATTTATATTTATAGGAGAAAAATGATATAAAAGTTTTTATATAAGAGAACAATGTTAGGAAAATCAATGACAAAGTGGAAAAAGCTTTTTGTGTGATGTGTTTTGTCATTTGGGACGTCATTTGACTGAAGTGATATTTATGTTGATTTAACTACTCAGGTGCATGAAGAAAAGGAAATGCTGAAATGTTAATATTTTCAATTAATTATTTTTTTAAATATATGTAACATGTACAAAGTGCCAAATCACCCTCATTCCCTTTGTATTCTTTTGGTAAGGAAGAAGTCCCACTCAATCTCCTGAGGGTATGCTTTTCTAACCACTACAATCTTAACCTCTTCAAGTCTAGTGTCAGCCATTTTCTATCCTAAATATCTTAAATAATATGCACTTGAGTGGCTCTTCAGCCTTATACTGGATGAAAAATAGCAAAAAATAGAAAGTATGTATTTGTAGGAGGTATTAAAATTCCTAAGCTCAACTCATTTTCTTAAATCTGTGTATTTTCATATATATATATATATATATATATATATATATATACACACACACACACATATATATATATATACACACACATATATATATATACACACACATATATATATATATATACACACACACACATATATATATATACATATATATATATATACACACACACATATATATATACACACACATATATATATATACACACACATATATATATATACACACACATATATATATACACACATATATATATATATATACACACACATATATATATACACACACACATATATATATATACATATATATATATATATATATATATATACACACACACACACATATATATATAAGAGAAAACACTACAGTCTATATATGTGTATATGTATGTCTGAATTCTATGTACTTTTTCTCTGTGATGCCCACACTGAGCTTAACCAAACCTGTTGTGTATATTTATCAGGTTTCCAATATGAATTGCTTGCTCATTCTTATCTTGTCAGTTGGATGAGAAGAAAGGCACCAAGAAGATTAGAAAGAAGGACAAATGAAAAAAAATGTTAAATGTAAATTAACAAAACAACCTCGAGTATTTTATTTCCCCATTTTCATGAGATTTCTTAGTCAGAATTGAATCAATTAGATAGCTTTCTTCAATTCAGGGTAAGATGTTAAGCTGATTACACAAAAAGGTTTTTTTTGCTAACTTGCTAAATATACTACACCATTATCTGTATTCTTTATACATGTGTGTGTGTGTATATATGTATATATATATATACACTCTGTATGAACCTGACAGAAATTCTGCTGTTCACTATTCAGCATTTTCTGCTGTTATCTCTTAAGGTTAAGAATGAAACAAAAACAATTGGGACAACATGTCTGGCATTTCATTGCAGACGGTAACATTTTCATCAACAATCAATAATTTTAATCAATTGTTATTAAAATGCAAATTAGCTCAATTCTTGGAAACAGTAATTAAAATCTTGACATTTTTTTCTCTCTAATTTACTGATGGGTTATTCAAAGAATTCTGACATTTCATTTTATTTTATGTTGGAAATTGAAAATAAAAGGAGCAGAAAAATAAAATCCATTTGGAAATTGTTTAATCAAAGAAAATGACAATATCTTTATTGAAATGAGCTTAATTAATCAATCGTCATGTGTCATAATGCATCTTTAATTTTCCAAATATGCTGTCATTAAATAAAAATTAGTGAAGTTCTTGCTGGTTAATATTTGGATTGTGTCATTTAATGATTTTTTTAGTTAAAAGAACAAATACCAAAAGATACTCTTGGATTTTTTTTTAAAATTAACAATTAAAATCAATCTGGTTTCTCTTCTAGACTTATTTAATAATACACTGTCTATTATATAAGATTTTTTTGTCTGAATACTTTACTGTGTTTAACAAATTAATCTCTTAATTTTCCATAGGGAATCTAATACTGAAGTTCTGATCTTGTAAAAATTTAAAGGAAAGTAAAAAAAAAATGTCAGACAGAAGCAATGTGATTATAATCAATATACATTGAACTTTATCTATGTCACAAATGTCTTGGCTACAAATTGCTTATTTTGCAGAATAATATTTAAAAAGATGTTTTTCCATTTCTTCAATGTGTCTTGTTTGATATAATCTTAAAAAAAACCAAAACAAAACATTATTTGTTTTATACTTGTAGAAAAATTTGTACATTATCTACATTATCTATATCTATCATTTATCTCTCTCTCTCTCTCTCTATATATATATATATATATCATTAGAACAGCATAACCAATACTGGTAGCAAGAATCAAATATTGTACCTCTGTTAATTCTTGATACTGAATGAAAACATGTTCACTGTACAGAAATTATCATTGTGCTCTCTTTATTTTCTTTAGCTTTCCTGATATATATACAATAATATAAAACTGCTTCTATATGAACCCACATATAACATTATCTTTTGGGTTATGGCCATATCACATTGAAACACCAATTCTCATACAATCACTGAAGTTAAGCAATGTCAAACTTGGTTACTAGATGGGTGACTGCTTGGGAATACCAGGTGCTGTAAGTTCGCATGTGTAGGTTAGGTAATGGATAATGGCTCAGAATTGGAAATCAGAGAGCCAAATTCCAATTTCAGCCAGGTTTGTTATATTCCCTTACATGCAAATATCCTTGGGAAAGGTAAAAAGCCACCACTTCTCCCCCTAGCTATGGGTTAATTATTACAAATTTTATCAGTAAATCATTATTATCTCTCCCCAAAATTCTAAAATCTAAAAATATTTTCTGGCTTTAAATAATCTGAAAAAGGTTGATAAGCTGTATAAAACAAATCAAAACCCCTCCGCCTCCAAAAAACACAGCTTTTAATAAGAAAGTAACCAATTTTTGTAGACTTCATGTTTCAGTATATAAATTGAGTGTTAGAACTATGGTTATTATTGGATTCAAAGATTACATGCACAATTTAATTACTTATCTAATAGCCCATTTTTGCTAATATACCAGTTAGTTATCATACCCTAGCAAAAAAATAAAGTGAATTGTTATTTTACATAAGAAACTGATAAAACTATTCTAACACGATCTTTACTAATGTCTGATAAGAATATGAAATTAAATCTTTCATATGTAAAATTATTGTTTATTCACTCCTGGACTCCATCAAATTAATGCTGACATGAAGGTGTGTAGTTTTAGGGAATTTCTTTGAACATTGATCTTTTTCTCATGAAGGGAATTAATAAAAATTCCCAATATTATTTAAAAAAAATGTACAATAATTTTTCATAGCAAGTTGGATATTGTTGATCCTAACAATATAAGACAAATAGAAAGAATGATATATTCATTTTGAAACCAAAATTTTGATAACATTTGCTGTATTGATATTCAGGATGCTCACTAATATAGCACAGGAAATGAAACATTGTCATTCCAATTTCAATGTTTTACTGATTATTTCTTCATATAAAAATGTTTAGAGCATAGATAACATTCAAAAATTCATATTAGATATTATATATATAATTTATAGTTGTTAACTAATTAGTTATTAGATCATTAATATCACACTTGTTTGCATGACTGTTATTTGAGGAAGAACAATATCTCAGAACTCATTTTCTTTAATTAACTTAATAGCATCAATTCTATCATGTTCAGGCTTGTTTTGTTGCTAGAGACTTAAACCAGTCATTAAACAAACCAACTAGTGGACTCACAATGTTTCTGTGTGCAACCCAAATTTGCATATCGATCAGGTCATGCCATTAGCTTTTATCAAGTTGGTATGAAACATCTGCTGGCAGAATTAATTTGTTGATGATAAAACTGCAATTATCATAACATGGCAGACAATTAGACTTGGTTCTCATCAAAGCTAAAGAGAGTATTATCCATACACACAGAGAAATCTATTCAAAAGCAACAGTAATAAATTTATAACAAAGTTAATAAAAATGACTTTAGGAATTTATTAAGACTGTAAATGTACATTGTATTAAAATAAAGCAAATTTTTTTTATTATTGAAATAAAATTTATAAATAGACTCCCCAGAAAGTAAAGTACAATATCTACTATTTGTCTTTGCTTTTTCATATTGAAAGTAGACAAAGGAGGTATGTTTGTTAGAATATTATCTAAGCACTTTTATATGTAAAATGCAGAGAAATCTGCAGTTTTATTGAAAAGGTTTAATTAAGTCGTAATGAAAAAAGACAGGAAAACATTATTAACATGCAGAAATAAGTTTGCATGTCAGAATTCATGAAAAATGTAGAAGTAATTTATCAGATTTTAATGTTATCAACAGATATGAAAACCATGAAAATGCTACTGAAAGGTCAAATAAATATGGTAGTTCTGAATAATTATTTGTAATAATCTTGAAGATACTCATTTTGTTTCATTAATCTGTTTTAGTTATTGTTTCTTTCTTAATATTTACTATCTGCTTTCTGTACATGGTGGCTACTCCTAAAAATTGCCTTTCAACACATTGGGATAGTCTTCACATAAAAATTATTAAAATATTATTTCTGTATCTTTTTGTTTCATATTGTTTCTTGGACATCTTCAGAAAGAAAAATTTTGCTCATCTTTATAATTTAATTTCATAAATATCATTTTGTTTTTAAATTAATTTTAATGTTTAACAAACACTGAAAAATTAGCCAAAATGAGGAGAATTATTTTTATTCCTTTTTTTTTGTTTAAAACTGTATAATAAGAACACATTATTTAAGAATGATGTTTCCTTCATTGATGAAATTCCATCTCGCTGCAGGTTTTGCTGTGGGAAGTTCTTTTATGTGGGTTGCAAGGAGTTCTGATTTTATGACATTGTTTCTTTTCGGTAGATGTCCTGGGTATAAACTACATCTGGCAGCAAGGCCACTGATTGGGAATTTGGAGGTTTTGAGAAGCATGGAACCACCTCTTAATTGCTGTTGTTCCCAGGTCCACTCACACCTGGAGTGGTAACACCTCTTAGGATCCCAGCTATGGGCAAATAGTAAACCCTCAAACAAAAACAAAACACTATAAAAGTATAATAATACTTTTTTATAGTAAAAATACCAGCAATACATTTTTATATAAAATTTACTAACAATACATATTTATAGTAAAATTATTAGCAATATATTTTATAGTAGAATTACCAACAATACATTTTATCTGTAGTTTAAGGCCTACAATTGTTTCCAAAATATATTGAGGTGAAGCCATAAAATTGTGTTCAAAATATTCAAATTTTGGCATTAAATAACCCATAGTGGTGTTGATATACCACTAAACAAAATCAACCAGCCAACTTTTCTGTAGATTTGGTAGAGGTGTGGCATGTACATTATCATCTTCACCCACTACATGAAGGGTTTACTTGTATAGCAGAACAAGTGAGATTCTGATAGTAAGGTTTCTTTGTCATAGATTTTTTTTGTTGGTTGTTTTTTTAGTCAAACAGGATTCAGAGATCTATTTCTCTTTAAAGGTGGAATCTGTAAATAAGGCTAAAGCAGATTGTATGCTTGGATCTTAGACTTTCCACAAAACTGCAAGTTTATATGCGATAAAGTTTTAAAGTGTGTCACTTTCCTATGGGTTTACTCAGAAGGGAGATGTCAATGAGTAATATCATTTATTGTGTGATTGTTGACAATGACTGAGTGAGTATATTCTTCATAACTTCTGGTAAAGCATCACCTTATCTAGATCCAAATTTGGCTACCTATGACTTATGGCTTTTCTCCAAGGACAAAAAATTGCTGTTGAAACATTGTGGAATAGTTTAAGTACAGTACTATGAGGCAGCTGATGGCTCTCCCAAAAGGCAACTTTGAAACATTTTTATAAAGTGCATGCTAAGTGCATGATATTTCAAGGAGAATACTCAGAAGGAGCAGGAAATGGGTGGGTAGTGTAATCGTTACCAGCTCAAGAGAAATTGACAAACTGAATTTGATTTTTTTCCATCCAATACAAGGCCCAAGAGTCATTCAAAGAAGTTTAATGAATAAGATTGTTATAAGAGTCTATGGTGGAGGAGAGCAAGAAGTGCATATTATGAGAATATGCAGGATAGATAAGGGTTGATACTTGACTTGAAGGGTTGTATTAATCTGGGAAGCATCATCTTGGGAGTTCATTCAACAATGCAATAATTTTGAAGAAGAAGCCATTTCAGTGGAACTTCTTCCTCAACAATGAGATATGAAGGGAATAAGTATGCATATACCCTGTGAATGTGGTAGTGTGGGTCCTAGTTGTGAAGGTCTAGACTGGCAGAACCAAGGAATGTAGTTTATTCAGAGAATTGCCATGAAAATAGCAACAGAGTATCAAGATACTGGAAATATTAGTTTCCAGTTGAGTTCTCCCTTGGGAAAGGTATGAATCCATTTCTTGTCCCACTTACAAGTTAAATAGCATGGCAGATTGGGCTCTCTTGCCTTGGCTGGTAACTAGTCTAGGAGAAGGTTGGAGTGCTAATGGGTAGAGAGAAACTTTTTAGATTTGATTAGCAATCTATCTAGATATGGTGACAATAAAAACAAACATCCTCCAGCATTCTGTGCCATGTGTGAAGATACGTTGGTCTGTAAAGACACACAATGACTGAAATTTTTAAGTCATGTGAGTTTTGTCATCTGTGAAGGCAAAGATAGTGTCTACTATTTTTTTTTTTACTCTGAAGTGAATTAAGGTGACATTGCTCTAGGTATGAATTTCAACATGTTACTAGATTGGCATTTAGGTCCCACCAATTTACTGTTGAAATAGCTTAAGGCAATTGTCACTTCTACTCCAACAGTTTCTTTTCTTTCACTTCCCTTCTGTTGACTTGCTTCCCTGATAACTACAATCTCAAATCTTCTGTCTTCTTGAATCCTGTTCATCTTTTTTCTTTTCCTCAATACTCTCTATTCTTAGTTTTCTCTTTCACTCTCTGTAATCCCTAGCATCTTAGTGGCATTACCACCTCACTTGGGGTGAAATGATTAAAAAAATAATGGCTAGATCTGTCCTATACATACATATCATCTGACAGGTAATTTACAGGACATTCATGTCTTTATATACATTGTTCTCTTAAACATATGAAATAAAAGATATATTAATAAGAGTTTAATTTTGTATTTGTAAGATCAAGTATTGTGAACAATAATGACAAATTGGACAACAAGTTTGTAGAATATTGCAGATTATGACTGGAAAATAACGCATGAAGATTAAACAGTCAGAAAAATTAAATAAAATTGCTACACTTATTTTGACTCATGTACTTCTAAAGATTTAAAGATGAATAATTCAAGATAGTTTTGTGGAACTGTATTTTCTTTCAAATCTTTAGTGCTGTTATTTGTGCTAGATTTTCATTTAAATGCTGAAGTGAATCCCCTGGATTTTAAAGATGTTATCTCTCTTTATATCTGTTAAACACTTAGAACTATAAAAAAAAAGTGATTTAGCATGTGTATAGTAGATGTCTTGAAGGTATAAAATCAATGCCCAGATAGAACAGGACCTATTTGAACCACTTTAGACCAGCTTACTTTCT